TATAGTACCGTACCCTATATTCTTCATATGCCAATTTTTACAAAGGAACTACTTAAACTTAAAGCCATAAGAATAATATAAGCACCCAAATGAACCTAACAAAATAAAATAAAACCCAGAAATTACCCACAAATAGGTGGAGATTTAATCATCCCTCCCCCCCAAAATCAATTGCATTTCTATATATCAGCAAATGACAGTAAAAATAAAAGTTTGTGACAGTATTTTATAACATCTACTACCCAGGAATAAATATAACCAAAGATGTGTCACATCATTAAGGAGAAGACTATAACTACTATTGAAATAGATTTTTTTAAATCTACAGGGACATATAGCATATTCATGGATTGGAAAATTATTTTTCCTCACATTGATTTTATAGATTGGATACAATCTATAGAGTCAAAGAATTTATTTTTCCCACCCAGAGTCTATACTTGGAGGGGGATTATGCATATTAAATTGTTCCATAGTATCCAGATTCTCCTGCGATTAACATTTTACCATGCGTGGTAGGTTATTGCAGTGTTAATGGGCAAGCCAAATATCCAAATATATTTAAAGTTTCTGTTCATGTCACTTCTGTTCGTATCATTGGCTAAAGAAAGTTACACAGCCAAACCCAAGACAGGTAATGAGGAAGTATAGACCACTTCCAGGTGGAAAAAGGAAGTGAATATTTGTTGGACAATAATTCAATCTGTCACATCTAGTAAAAACAACAACAACAACAAAAACGCCAAACTTGACTCTTGATAGCTAACCCTATAGAAATGGGTGGTCACTTTATTTACACTGGCATATATGTGTGGGGGCTGAATAATATCCCGTAAAGATAACCAACTCCTAAGCTGCAGAATCTGGAATATGTTACATTGTACGGTAAAAGCGTTTTGGTAGATGTAGGTAAGTCAAGAATTTGAGTATGGGGAAATAATCTGATTATCTAGGCAGCCCCCATGTACTCAGAAGTACATAAGTGGAAGGCAGAGGGAAGTCTGACTACAGGAAAAGATGATATGGTAAAGAAAGCAGAGATTGTGTGGATAGGGGCACAAGCCAAAGAATGCTAACAACCTCTAGAAGCTGAAAGATAATAGATTCTTGCCTCGACCTCCAGAAGAATACAACTAACATAGATAGTACAATTGCGGCTATGGGACCACTTCCTCTCCACTCATCTGAACTTGGGCAACACCCCTCAGCCAACCCTCTCCTTTGTCCTTAGGAAGGCAGAAATAAGAGTAACAAAATCCCCAGGAAATTCCTAACATTCCAGGCCAGGGCAAAAGTGTGTTAGATCTATTGGCATGATATACAATGGCATTTCCTCACCTGGAATGGTTTGTACATATGGACTATATGTCATGCATCTAATTATAACCAAATAAATAATGGGAAGGACATGCACAGTAGATAAAATTGAGATGACTCAGCATCCTGTCAATCAAATTGTCATTTATGTCCTGAAACACCCAATAGGAGGCACCCAAGGTGGGGCACACATCTCCAGAACCTAAGCTTAACTTATTCGTGGTCCATTTCATTCTTCCCACTACCTTGTGCCATTTTTTCTGCTTTTGCTTGCATGAACCCACTTGCTCTGAGTGTACCTTTCCCCATTAACTTCAATAAACTTAGCTGCTGTTTTCTTTACTGCTGTGTACAACATCCAGTTATTTGTTTATAATGCATAAGAACCTGGAACCTATGTCCTGGGAACACATCACCCACTGTACCACAACCTTGTCAGTTCATTTTACCTTTCTGATCTCCAGATCTGTAAGATAATAAATGATGATAATAAACTAATACATATGTGGTAAGAATTCATACCAGCGCTAAAATTAAGCTTGAAACTAGCAACAACTTAAATGCCCATCAAACAACTTAAATGCCTTTAGAATAAATTCTTGTATATTATGTAATAGAATACAGCACAGCACTGATTATCCATGAACTGCTGCTACATGAAACAACATGCAATCCTAAATATATAATATTGGCTAAAGGATGTTACTTATAAAAGAAAACATACTAGATGATTCCATTTTTATACAGTGCAATAATAGATAAACTAGCCATATTACTTAGGGATGCATACTTAACTGGTGAATCTATATAAAAACAGAAAAATAAAAAAGACTTTATCATGAAGGAAAACTCAGGATGGTTGTGAAGGGTATTCGTGGGATTGGGAGGTGGTCCCAAGATGCTTGTAATTTTCTGTTTCTTGAGCTCCACTGTGGTTACTATTGGTTCACTTTGTAAAAATTAATTAAAATATTAATTCACTTTATCACTGTTGTGTATATCCACAGTACAGTGGTGCCTCAGTTTGTGAACTTAATTTGTTTTACAATTTTGGGGAAGATGGCCATGTTTGTGTTTGTGTGAGGAAAATGGCTGTGGTCTTTTGTCACCCTATGCAGAGTTTGTGGAAAGCAAAATTTTGCCTAACACTTTTGTTTGTGAACCTAGTAGTTTGCAAACAGAAGCATTCGTGTATTACTGTATTGCATATTAAAAATACTCCTATTTTTTAAAAGGAAGACAAAAACAAGCAATCCAGATGTCTAATCAAGAGATCTGAAGACCTTTATATCTTACCTTGTTGCTGATAATGGCTTACCTTGTTAAATAACAAAGCACTGTATTGTTTTGCCATTTGCTTTGGATGAAAAATAAAAAATAACTTTATGATGATTCTTGGGCCTCTTGAGTGTTGTTTTTCCAAGGTTGTATTCCCTATCAGATGATACCACTAAAACTTTTGTCATCACCCAGTAAATCTGTACTGTGTCCTACCAGGTGATTCCTTTATATCTCCTTTTGTTACCAGGCAGGCTGACACAGACCTGTAATCCCAGAACTCCAGAGGCTGAGGCAGGAGGATTGCTGCAAGTTTGGGGCCAGCCTAACTACATAGCAAGACCTTGTCTCAAAAGAAAGAAACAAAGAAGAGAGGAAAGAAGGAAGGACAAAAGAAAGAGAGAGAGAGAGGAAAGAAAGGAAGGAAAGGAAAAGAAAGGAAGGGAAAGGAAAGGAAAGGAAAAGGAAAAGAGAAAAACTTTAGTTTCAGGACACAAAAGTTACTCAAGATTGTAATGCCTTTTTCCCTTCCAAAAATTCCTAAGCATCCTGAAAACATACTAAGCCTGCAAATTGGGCTCTGGGCCATGCTTTTCGCCTGTAAATTGTGCTTCCTCCCACATGCCTCCCTCCTCAGTACATCTCTAAACCTCAAACAGATGCAAATGGTTCGCACTCTGACCTAGCCCACCCAATGGGTGGCCTGCCAGATGATAGGAAGACCATGTAAAAACCCCAATCCCAAACCATCATGTACCTTTTCTCTCTCTTTCTTTTCTTTCTTTCTTTCTTCCTTCCTTCCTTTTTTTCTTTCTTTCAATAAACCTTTCTAATCCCTCTCACTCACACAGCCTATGATTTCTGTGATGTCAGTCAGTGAACCTACAACCTACCCCATGGGTGGAGTGACTTGAGGTCTCACATCCTCTTTAGGAGACCTCCTTGGACCCTATCTGATGACAGTGTCACTGTGTGTAGTGATCCGTCACAGTGGTATTTCATCTGAGCCTTGAGAGGATTGAGCTCTTTGTACACCATTTCAATCAGTTATTGGTCAATGATGTGTCCAGAGGTGTGTATTTTCCCTGGTCTTCTATCTTTTTTATTTCTTTGTATGTTTTTTGAGACAGATTCTTGCTATTTAGTTCAGACTGGTCTTGAATTCTCTATGTAATGTAAGCTGGCCTCAAACTTGTGGCACTCCTCCTACCTCAGCCTCTCAAGAGCTGGGATTACAGGCATGCACCACCAGGCCTGGCTTCTCCTGTACTTCTAGTGTGGGCAAAGCTGGCTCTTTTGCTCAGAAGATCATAAAAAAAGAGAGGTGCTGACATGACAATATGAAATCATTCCAGCATGTACTAAAGTACAAAGAATGAAATGCTATATATAATGGACAATGAAGCCACGTAATGCAAGACACTTTTACAGGTAACAAATGGGACAGTGTGCAGTGTGAGGGAATGGAACCTTTATGAGGTGGGCCTGATGGAAGGGAGTTGGATCCTGTGGGTTCCCCTCTCATGAATAAGTGGAGATCAGAATGAGTGGTTTCCTGGAGAAAGAGTTGTTATAAAAAGAACAAGCCTGGCCTCACCCTGCCTCCTGCTTCTGGTCACTCCAAGTGGTCTCTTCTGCATGCACTCCCTGCTTTGTGATTCCGTCCAGAGCTGAGCAGAAGCTGGCACCATGTACTTGAACCTCTAGAGCTGTGAAACCTTTTCTTTACAGAGTTCCCAGCTTCAGGTACAGTATTTTGTAACAGCAACACAAAACAAACTGTTACATCAAGCATGAAGTCAAGAAGAAAAACCACAGCAGTAAATATAATGCAGATCTAATTAAAGCACATAGACTGACGCATGACTTCCCATAGGCTTCCTGATCCTTCTGTTGCCTGTCTTTATTTTGTCTTTAAAAAAAAAGGCTGGGCTTTGTCTTATACTTCTTTCCATCTCTGGTGAACTCATTACTTATCTCTTCAGCATTCAGTTTATAGTCATGAAGTATAGTATATAGCACTAGTCATGCTAATGATCAATTTGGCTTTGTTTGAAAGATGCCATGGAAATTCACTTTCATCTCAGCAGCGATCTCAGACTCTTCCTCTTCTTCCTAAAGGGATCTTCCAGCACCACGATTATGAGATTTTAGGTAGACACCATGACTCTAACACTAACAATGCCCAAATGTATACAGTGCCTCAGATTGGAAGTTCTTACAGATACCACAAGTTACGGCCTGTAAAAATCCAAAGTTTGTGTTAATAACACTGAGTCAGCCTATGCCTATTGGTTCTAAAGACCTCCACTTGCTACTGGACAGTTTTGTATTCAGGTTAACCTCACTCTTACATCCAGGCATAGATCCCAAAAGACAGACTTCAAAAGGTATTAGTGATGCTTTATTGAATACATTAACTGACAACTGTGGTTAATAAATAAAAGGAAACAGTGATATTTTCTTTGATAAATTCATTTTAAAGTATTTAAAAATGTAAGAAGCACTCCACTCAGTTTTCCCTTTCTAACATGTTAAAGTTCTTCATATTCACTCGTAGAATTCCATCCCTAAAGTGATCAATCAAATGCAGTTACTATAGGCATTCATTTGCCATGGTGTACACTGAATGTTATACTTTTCTCTCTTTAAGGCACTCAGAATAAAATAATGCAAAATAATTAGTTTTATTTTTTTTTTAAAAAAAAAAGAAAAGAAAGTCCCAAACTTTCTTACCAAAAAGAATTTAAATTTTCAAATTCCTACCAGAATTTATCTTTTTAGGGTGAAACAAAATAAAAAGGAATGTTTTGGGTTTTATTTTTATTAATGCTCCATCAGCAAAGATTCCCCCATGTATGCCAAATCCTTTTCTGGAAGCTGATTATGTGGCGTAGTCTGTGGGCTGCCTTGACTTCGTCAACTCACGCTTCAGTTGCTCAAAGCACACAAACATAATAACATTCCAGGATGCAAGTCGCAGGAACGAAGGCACAAATCTGGAAAAGCGTGGGCCACCACTCTATTAGTTAGTTTGAAATTCTTAAAGCTAGTAAAGTACAGACAGTTTATGTTTCTTATTTTGCTACTCTTCTGTAGTGAAGATGCTTAAAAGCATCTATTCTTCATCTGTCCTCTGTCAAACATAAAGTTTCCTCTAGAAGTTCCATTCTGCTTCAAAAAACCAAAATCTCAACAATCCCATCTATGCAAATCCATAAATATCCTTCACTGCAACCAAACCAAAGCATAGTTTTCAATAACTCTTTCGTTTTTGTTTTGCTTTACTTGATAACCAGGAGCAAGGAAGCTATGAAAGGAGAAAGCCAGAGGAGCAAGTGAAGAAAGGATGACTAAGTGGACACTGTCCAGAGGCAGGAAGTCAGGATGATCTCCATTTCGGCCACTCTTGTCCTTAAAGAGGCCATTAAGATTTAAATAAGTTTTCATTTGTTTGGCTGTTTATGGTTTTGGGGGGTTATTTTTAAGAATTTTGTTATCTGTGTAGACCAATTGGTTTTTGAATGCCTATTTGCAGCAGTGAAATATTACAAAGGACAAGGATGTCAACAGTTTAATCTGCTTTGCATCTATTCCTAAAAGAATGTAGCCTACAGAAAACACCTCCCGCGGGACTTTTTATTTCACCCCAGATCTCTTGATATATTACTCAGATGCATAGAATTTTTATTGTGAATGTACTATTTTATCCATTTAAAAATGTATAATTTTAAGATGCCTCAAGTGTGTGATTCTATGTATCTGACAACATCATCTGGTTCCACATTCTTGTGTCACCTCAAACAAACTCTGTACCCGTATGTGTCCATCAACAAGTGAATGATAAAGAAAAAATATGTGTACACAATAGAGTTCTACTTAGCCATAAAGAAGGATAAATTTGAGTCATTTGTAGGAAAATGGATACACTGGAGACCATAATGTTAAGTTAAATGAATTTGATACACAAGCACAAACATCGAATGTTTTCTCTTATATGAGAAACCCAAAGTATAAATAATTTAAAGAGTAAAATAAAAGATATGGTAATATGAAATACAGAGATAGACCCTCTACAAATGGGAAGGGGAACTAGAGGTGAAGAGAGGGAGGGGAAGTAGGGGAAGTAAAAAAAATTAAAGTGGGGAAGTAAAAAAAATTACAGTGTGCTATGTACACATACCAAATCCTCACAATGAATGTAATCATTTTGTACAGCAAACATGTATTGATAAACATAAAAAAGAATCTCTGTATCCATTAAATACTAACTTCCCAGGTCCACCACTCTCCAGCCTCAGTAACTGCTCTTCTATTTTTCTGTCCCTTTGCATTGAACTATGCTAAGTACCCCATTTATGGTATGGTAATTGTCTTTTTGTGTATGGCTTATTTTACTGAGTCATAGAATGTTTTCAGTGTTAATCCATATTATATTATGTCTCTCCTAAAAGGTTTTGAAAAGACTAAAATTGTTAAGTGGGTAATGATTAATAACTAGTATAACCATTTTAAGTTAATTTCATAATGTATATTATTGGTATTAATATATCATAAATTCAGATAATCTTGGAACACTTTGAATAATGTGTATGGAACTTATAAATTTTGAGGCATTGCTCTTATTATTTTACCACTAATGTAGTCTTGGGGACCAAACTCGGGCCCTTGCTCTTGCAGGGCAGGAGGCAGAACCACTGAGCTAAATCCCCAGCCCAGCTAATGTAATCTTTATTGGACATGTTCATAAGTTAGTTCATACTATAATTTCTTAGGGAGGTAGTTTCCAATATAATATAATATTACATTATGAAAAATGTAATCTATTGCCCAATAGTGGTTTCTGGGTAAGTGTAGTAATTACCCAAATCACATAATTTTCACCTTTTGGAGGGGGGGTAATACTAGGGATTGAACCCAGCACCTTCACACTGAGCTATATCCCTGGCCCTTTATATATATATATATATTTATTTATAGAGGCAGGGTCTAGCTATGTAGTTCAGGCTGGCCTTGAACTCAGAGGTATGCTCCTGCTTCAGTCTCCAGAATACTGGGGTTACAAGCATGTGCCACAATGTCCAGCACTATTTGTTAAAATTTTGAGACAAGGTCACTAATTCAGTCAGTTACCTAAGCCTGTGCTCCAATTTTCAGTCCTCCTGCATCAGCCTCTGAGAGTTCTGGGATTATAGGAGGAGCTCCCACTTTCACCTGTTGTTTACTTTTCTAGGTCAGTAGCAATGACTTTTCTCTACCTTTGCTTTAATAGAATTTGAAAAACTGAGTCTATCCAGTTAAAATAATGAAAATCAAGTTTTGCTTACTCATAGTCCTCTACTCAGCTTTTTCACTAGTTTATAGATTTCCTTCCTGGACAAGGGCATAATGATTAGAATACGGTCTATTTTTCCAACAGATTGGGGCCGATGGCAAGGTACTGATTTGGAATATACTTCTGGACAAGGCTGGAAACTTTTCTTTTTGGTACCAGGGATGGAACTCGTGTCCTTGCACTTGTGAGGCAGGCAGTGGAACCACTGAGCTAAATCCCTGGCCCTAGGCTGGAAATTTTTACCATCACGGGTTTTTATTTTCTGGCTCAGTGGGATTGGTGAATTGGAAAAATCTGTGGCAAGGAAAAGTTAACACTGAGTCCACTGCATATACCGAGCCTGGTAAGCTACTTGCCAACTCTTTTGATGAGACAGTGTCTCAAAGCACATAAGCACCCTGCACACACCATTAGATATAAGAAGATCATATCCTACCCTTTGAAAAAAGCTGTCCATCGTTCCTTTTTGAGCATGGTCATTGCACAGCTGGGCACACTTATGTACTGTCCTGGTGGAGAATTAATAAATCTAGTTTTCACCACATCCACTGGAGAGGACAGAAGCGTTGTGCAAAACCCAGCGATAAGAGCAGACAGTAAGTGGCAGGGGACATCATCTAAAACAGAGCAGTGAAGCAGGTCAACACGGACTTTTGGGTGGCTTGTTTCTAGTTACCTGTCAGATCCTTGACAACATGAGGTCAAGATGGATGTCTTGGAAAGAAATAAAATATAGTAAGCAAAGTTATACTTGCACTAGAAGAAGATGGTTAATAGCACACAGGATAATAAATTATAAACCCATTAGGAAAGTAACAGTCTGTTTCCTCTGTGCACCAGGGCCTGGCATAGTGCCTGATACACGGGCGCCTAATGCCTTTTAGTTGCATGAAAGTCATTGTCAAAGGAGAATTTCAATGTGTCTAGAAACTGTTGTTAGAATATTTCTAGGAAGGTATTTTATGGCAGGTGAAATCATTGATGAGCTCCTTGGATAACTGGCTCTTTTGGATACTGTGCAGGATGGACTCACTGCCCGAATTCTAAATAAAGAATACATTTCTAACAGCAGTTCACAGTTTAGTATTAAATGAAGATAGTATTGATATAAAAATGCAGTTGCATTTTTGTGTTGCAGCAAAACTGCAACACAAACATTTGTTGCAGTACAATTCTTAAAATTTTTTGCTTCTCAAAAAGTTATATCTAATGTTAAAGATCCCTTAATTTTTTTTAAAAGACAAGATGATTTGGAATTAAGGGAAGCTCCAAGATGAAATAATAGAAGTGTAGACGCGTTAATTAGAGACAATATGAAGGTACCTGCTAGTATCTTGTTTCTCACAAGGGCACCCTTCATCAGGTCATATGTTACTAGCTCCGTGCAATTGATGATAATATTTCTCAATAGATTGGGAGTAGTCCCTGGAGAAAAAACAAAAGACTATGTTAATTCTAGCTTATGATAAGGTATTCACTGGATATGTGTGTTTTAAAGATGATAAAAATCCACCTGGTAGTTACCTTTCCAAAGACTTTTCAAGCTTTCTGTTGTTGCTATAATTCGGTAAGCATTGTAAGTCCCAGTGTAGCGTGGTTTGAGGCCATGTAGTTGGCTCTGTGCTTGGAGTCTGACTTTCACGACCTCTGTGGGCTGCCCGATGAATACAGCCACTCCTCCAGTGGTTAAGCCAGCTGCGATCCTACTTCCCAAACTAGGTGTTACTATCCAGAGAAAAAAAAAATATTAAGAAAACCCCAAGACCCCAAAAGTATCCCTGTGTCTTTTTAATTTGTAGTGCTTAGTATTCTTATATTCATATATCTTTTCTACTTCCCTAATCTTTGTTCATATTCATTATGTACTAAAACCGTAGTTGGGTAGAAGATTCTGGTTGTCTGGTTTTTTTCAAGTAAGACTTTTAAGGGAAAAAAATGCTGCCTATTTAAACAGTGGCCTAGTCCTTTTTTGGTATTTAGCTTAGTTCTTTCCTGTGTTTAACTGTGTGTCATCCGTGTCGGTGTCATGTTGTCCCCCTCCCCGTCCCTCCCCTCCCCGTGGGGGGAGGGGGATCGACCTTGCACTTGCAAGGCGGGCGTGGTGCCACTGAGCTAAATCCCTGGGCCTTAACTGTTTTTCAATAGTTCCAACCTGGAGGGGATAAGTCACTATGCTGTTTGGTTTTCCTCTGATCAATGAAAATATTTATCATTAGATTTAGTGGTCTTAAGAAAAGTCCAATGGAAAAATTGTCTTAATATGGATATCAAGTAATATTAGGCTAGCAGGGAATAAAAAATTAGAAGAAAAAAGCTGAGAAAGTGATTTGTGTCTTGAAATTTTGAAAAATGAGCTTATATTGCCCAAGACAGATATCATTCAATAAAATATATATTTATTCCTGTATGGGACTATAAAATTATGGTTCAGTAATATCTACTCATCAAGGACTCTAATTCTAATAATCTTTCAAATTCTGCTTCCTAACTTTGAGAGAGGGATAAATAGAGAGCAAAATAAAAGATAGATAATAGGAAGTAGGGAGGTAGATCTTCCCACTTTTCTGGCCTCATATGCCCACCTTCACTGAAAAAAAAAAAGATCCTCTCTGAGTGTATGTACGTGACCTTCACATGGGTTGAAAGGTCTTTTCTCACTATCTTGCTTGGATTCTCCCACTGGTCTTTTAAGGCTGGATTCAGGCACTCAATCCTCAGGGAACTCCCTCATGGCCCTGCTCCCACAACCACATCAAATACTCCTCTTCAAGTGCCCAATGTCCTGTGTTGCCTTGCAACACGGCATGTGCAATAGTATGAAGCCAACCCTTACCTGCTGCCCTACCAGCCCCATACTCTGAATGGAGGGTACCTGTCCAGTGTGACAACTGCAACCTGCCCATCTAGCATGGTTTCTGGTACATGGCAGTTCAATAAAACTAAATAAATCAAATAAGCATAACGTAGAGTACTTCTAAAATTTTTCTAATTAATTTGGAGCTCATATTTGGGGAAGGGGGGTGTTCAAATATTTCTTTTTTTTTTTTTTTTTGCCAGTTTGTTATGAAGACCATTACTACGTAGTTACTCTTTTGAGGGTGTTGGTTTTTTGTGCTAGGATTGAACTCAAGGCCTCCCAAATGCTAAGCAAGTGCTCTAGCCACTGAGCTACACCCCAATACCCCCGTGTTATTTCTTTTAAAACAGAGCTGAGCCCTGGGCATACTCGTCCCTCTCAGGAGCACTCGTTGCTTACTATCTTTCTCCGAGGTGTAGAACTCCTGGACCGTGTCATAGAGGCCGATCCTGAGAGAGGCGAAGCTTATTTGCCTCTGCAGGCCCGCGGGCAGCCCGCTGTATAGTTTCATGGGCCCTTCGGTCTTTGCCAGAGTGGTGATAGTTCCCAGGGCACCTTTATACTGAATACCGCTGGAGATCTGGCTTTCGCCTTGAATCTAGAAATGAGAAAGGTGCAGGTGAGAGGGAAGTGAAACACCGAGTCCTGGTGAGGAAAAATCTACGGTGGCATCAGATGTCCTTACAGAGAAGCCTTAAGCCAAGACTTTTCTCATTGTGCTATTTTCAGCTGCCCTCTCGGCAACCTCTTACCCATCCAGCCCCATGTCTAACTGTGGGGAGGGGACCGATGCGCACTGCGACAGCCCACCTCCACCCACCCTCACTCTCAGGACCCCCTACGGCAACTGGTGGGGAGTGCACCTTGCAGAATCAAAGAAGCGGAAAAGCGCTTGGCTTCAAAGTCTCAGCTTAGAAAGCACCGCGCACCCAGATTTGACAGGTGGTCAACCCAGCATCTCTGGCCTTTGTGGTCCTTTCATTAATCCTGGAGTAAGTTCCAGTTTCCAATCTAAAGCATCTCATCCTGGGACAGAGCCAACTTTTTTTTTTTTTTTTTTGAAGGTGGCCACCTGCCCTCCCTAACGAGAAAATAGCAAAACCAAAGCAGGGAACTAAAGGCACGCGAACCACAGTGGTCCCCTCTTGGTCCTGACCCTCCGCGCCCTCCACGCCTGGCTCGCTACCTGCAGGCGGACTTTGGCCGTGTCCAGCGGAAAGGTGATCACATCGGCCAAACAGGCCGCCACTCCGGCGGAGAAGATCTTGACCCCCATGGTGGGGTGCACCTCCGACGCCGTCGGGCTCACCATCGTCCCTCAAGGAGCCAAACAGAAAGAGCAAGAGGGCGCCAGCCCCGAAGGTGGAAATCCCTTTCCTCTTTCCACGTCCGCTGGCCCGCGCAGGAAACCCGCTCTCTGACTCCTGGACCTCGCAGAAGTGGTGGCGGGAGCTGAGTCGGCTGGTCTGGTCCCCACGCAAAGGATGGGAGGATCGCTGCGCCCCCGCCTTCCGCGGGGACCTTTATGCCCGGCCGCACTGGGCCGGGCTGCGGAGGTCTCCCAGGACCTGGGCGTGGGAACGGGCAGGGCGTGCGAACGGGCAGGGCGTGCTCGGGTGCCTCTCACCCCGTCCTGCAGCCGCACTTCACTCTGGAGTCCTGGCCCGGCACCCTGCCGTCTGCGCCAAGCCCCGCGCGTCACCAGGAGGGCACACGGGCATCCCTCGAGCCTTGGCGTGGGCGGCACCTTCCGCCACACTTTAGCTGTGCAGCCTTGGCTGGCTGGGGAGCTCCCGAAAGAAGCGCGATCTCAGAGAGCAGCGAGCCTGAGCTCCCTAAGGACCCAAGAGTGGGCCGCTCCTAGCCCCATCCTCGGGCTGCTGAGGCTTACAGCTATCTCTGCTTCCCTTTCCTCTCTTTCTAACTTGACCTACTCCTTGCTCCCCCCATTCTTTTCCGACCGCCGAATTCAGACTCAAGAAAATATGATGCAAAACCCAAGAACATTCTGGACTTTCAAAAGAATAAGTGTTTTGTGCGTCAGTTTTTGTAGGAAGATGTCCAAAGAGATCACAGACAACCTAAAAAGCAGCACTTTGAAGTGCTGCAGCACTCCACAAAATGAAATAACCTTTGCACCTTTTAATCACCGTTTGTAGGAGGTGCGGTGGAAGGGACACCGGCTGGTGACTTGACTCCAGAGGCAGCTTCGGCCACCTCACCAGTTCCGTGACACCGACAAAGCCATCTTTACTCTACCTTGTTTTCAGTCTCCTGTAAAATGTGTTTCCAGAGCTGTCCCAGGTCTGATATCCTGCCGCTCTAATCCTGCTATCTATAGAAATAAATCACTGTAGACAGGGTAGACATTTTCCTACTTCTGTTTCATTACTACTTGTTTGCAGTGCATAACGACAATTACAGTTAACCTGGGGAGTTGGTGCACATGCAGAAAGCATTCCGATTCCTCTCCTCCCTTTCTTTCATTCCCTACTCTCCCCTCCCTCTTTGTTCTTAACAGTTCTTAGTCCCTTTCTCATTTGCAAAAGCTCTACTTTCACAATTTCCCCCCTTCCATTCTTTTTTTCCCATTCCCTTTCCCTTCCCTCTTCCCTCCCTCCATCTCTTATTCCTTTATCAATTTGAAAATGATCTCCCTACTTCCTACTTATTTATTTTCTTTAAGTCTTCATTTTTTTGTATTAAATTCTTTTATTGGTACCTTGTAGGTATACAACACATTTACATTTCTCATTGGGAATTGTACCTTTATATAACGCATCTTGGTTCTTATTTTCTCCCCATTCCTAGCCCTCCCTTCACCCCCTCCACCCTTCCCTATTTACAAAGACTTTATTTCCATTTTTTCCATTTCTCATCA